CCCCCCAAACCCCCACCCCGCTTTCTCTTAATGAAGTCGCCGCCGTGTGTGAATCCTTGGTTTTTAATACCAGTCCAGGTAATACAGAATGTGCCGTGTGCGCGACAACTTGTTACTCTGAACCATACACATTGATGATAAAACGTTATTGTCCTGCTCCTCGTCATGATTACATGATGAACTTTATTGTAAAATAATCGCCGTGTGCGCCCGTCAATTTGCGTTTGATAATAATTATTAAGAATAATTAAACCATGTTGATATTTTGTGTTGGGGCGCCGGCCGCCGACCTCCCCTCCCCTCGCTCGCGCCGTTGGTGGCTATCGTTTTTTTTTAAATTTTTTTTTTTAAACATTAAACCCGGACCTGAATTCGTGGAAAATGACTTTGGTCCCGATTCAGCGTCTACGCGATGTTTAACCATAATAATTTACGCAATGATATTACAATAATATTTACTTTGATGATTTTTTTTTTTTTTTCATTTGTCTCACTTATGATTTTTTAAAACATGTTATACTCTGTGTGTGTGTGTGTGTGTATGTGTGCGTGCGTGTGTGTCGTTGGGCCGCCGCACACTTATTTTTTTTTTTTTAACTCGCCGGTTTATGATTTATTATTTATTATTGATACGATAATAATATTGCCAATGTTAACGTCACCGGCGATGTGACGTTCGTTCTGTTCGCCAGACGTATTGCGCACAATATTGTTAAATTTCGGACGAAGGTAATAATTTCGTTATTATCGGATTATAATATTATACGGAACATCGTTCGACCGACGGGCGCTCCTCAGTCTGCGATGTTTTCAAATAATAAACAATATTGATATGTGTTACTCGCGTGTATACTTGTCCTAGTATACTTTCCTATATATTTATATTACACGTATATATATACATATACAAGCTGTGTTGTAAATAAATAAAATATTTTGAAAATCATGATGAAAATAATGATAACTATTATTATTATTATTATTATTATTATTATTATTTATATTATTGTTCTTACCTATAAAAATATCGATTATTATACACGCATAATAATATGTTGTTTGAAATTAAATTTACATAATACCTACATATTAATATTTACCTATTATTATAATTATTATAATTATCATGATAAACCCTATTGTTGTTATTATTATATCTAATTATTATTATTATTATTATTATTACAAAATACGATAACTTTTGTATTAATTAAACCGTAGTAATAATCCCCGTGTTGCGCCAGTGTGCGTGTGAAGTCGTATGGGTGTGTGTGTGTGTGTAAGCACATGATATGACAACGTTGTGCTGCGCGTAATCAAATAATAATAAATAGTATTACATATAATGATGATATTATTAATTCGACAACAGCCTACGATTTTTTCCCGTAACAGACCAATAATATTTTTGTTCATTTTCGTTCCGTTCCACAGGCCATGCTATCGATTGTTTTTTTCGCGCTCTTTTTGTTTTTCAGCCGCTCCGACCTCTTAAGACAATGTCGGTTTATTTAAAATATTCTCTCCCCCGTATGCGTGCTATGATAACGATGTTTGGTATCATTCTTGAGTTTAGAGTTAGTGGATTTAGTTACTTTTTTTTTATTTACTCAAAGACGGTCACAGTTTTAATACTTTTTGGGTTCGATTTTCCGTTCACCGTGTTTTTTTCCCACCCTCTCGACCCACCCACCAGGTGGAGAACACACTTCTCCGTCGCGGGGTCGAGAGATTATACCAAAATGCACACACGCGCTCGCTCGAACGCACACGCATACATAATAATATATAATATTTTATATATATATATATATATAATATGTAGTGACCTACGCTTTGTTGTTATGTATTTTTTATCATGTGTACACGCGCGGCAAAACGTGTGTGACCAAACCTGTTGACCCGTTTTTATTTATTTATTATTACTATTATGATTTTTTCTCATTTTTTTTTTTTTTAAGTAGTCTTTAAGTGCCAAAATAAATGTTTGAATGTGTTTACAAAAAAAAAAAAATGTCACTTATTATGCTGAATTATTCATGAAGAATTTGTATAATAATATTAAAATAGCTTTGAAGATTGAAGCATATATATATACTTAAATATATATATTATATGTGTATATATAAACATATCTCGTGTGTGTATATATATTTATACATATTTATATATTGTGTGTATTATATGCTTGTGTCGAACTTGTAAAAACTAAAATGTCATGTGAAATCTACTTGGAAAAAATTATTATATTCGAAATAAATTTGACCTGAAACACAGGTTTTGATATCGAGAATACATCTATTTTTTTTTTTTTTTTTTTACTTCATTCATACTCATCACGAGTCTTGTCTGTGTATTGTAATTATTGTGTAACCTCACCTGTACAAAATACTGGGAAACATGCGACGACGAGACGCGCTTGACGTTAAGTGTTTAATGCCTATAAGACTATAAATCTAAATAATATTTTGCAAGTGAAAAAATATTATGGTGTACAAACACTCAATCGTCGTTTGTAGAGGCGTGAAAACCGTATAAACAGCGGAGTTCGCCTTTAATTATTGTTTTAATAATTATTAAAATTAATGTATTCGAAGTCACCTCGCTCATATCTGGCTAACTGCAGCACTCGTTGGGGACGTGGAACAAATGTCTGTCGTGAAAGATTCAATTTGTGCTCTTGCCGAAAAAGCGTACTAGCCGGCGAATTTCATTCGGCCGCCAATACGGATATAATATTATTCGATTTGTTTTTTTTTATCTATATCGCTATATTATAATTAGACATATTTGTGACCATGGCCTTGGACGACTAACGATTATAGGACATGTCTGCCGTATATCTACTGTACACGATGTACTGTGATAATAATATAAAGTCTACTATAATAATTGTATATACCATAATGGTTGCATGCAGTTGTCGGTACTTTTAGATAAGGAAAAAATGTTTCAATCAGACGTTCATAATATACTAAAATAGGAGGGCAGTACCACCACAACTCTTAAGTAATACTGTTACTTAGGACGTTTCCCCCCGAATAAAAAACAAATATGTTCCAAATGCCAATAAAAAATTCACTAATATATATATTAAAAATATTAAACACTATACAAATACAAATTATAAACACGATATAATTAAATACAAGTATTACAAAACGTAACTTACTCTTTTTATTCTGGTAATTTAGCCCACAGAAATTAAAATTTTTTAAATATCATCATTTGTAAAACTTTTACATTATGTTTTATTAACCCGTCTTATTTATCTAAATTATTACCAAATGCTCCTACATAGCTATAATTTAAATGTATTTTTGTGCACTTGAATTACTCATCTGTAGAGCTTCAATAAAAACGTGAACTATGTATTCGATAGATATGATGATTGTATACATCGGGTAAAACCAAAGGACCTATTTTCCAACCTATTATATTTATCCGCTTCATGTGTAAAAAATATATATACATTGATTCAGGTGGGAAATGTCCAGTACCGCTAAAATGCATAGGGGGGGGGGGTGTCCAGATACCCTGTTCAACATATCGCACATAGTGATAATTAGTCGAATTATTTGTAATTAGTTCGAGAACGCCCTTTTTGGTGTTTATAAGCCGTGGTGTTTGAGGTAAATAACTCGAAAAATAGGTACACAAGTCGAATTTATTTTTATTCCCTTACAGAAATATCGAGACTCGAGTGTATACTAAACGTACAACCTACCTTATATTTTGCCTCGGTGTACCCGAAATATGTCTGCGGTATTATTTTTTTTTTTCGGTGTAAACGGAAAGCTCATCTTGTACCGTTGCCGTTTCTCGTTCGGCGCCAAACTCAAAAACCAAGCTCGTCGCGTCGCTGTCGGTCTGGCCGGGCCGGCTCGCCGTGTCCTCTGACCCTGCGGCTTAAGCCACGCTGTGTGTGTGTCTAAGCGTAGCAACGGTCGTACGCGGCGGTAGACCGCATTTGTCGGCGATAAATATATTTGATTTCGGACGCGCACAGCGTGTGTTGCATCGAGACCGGCAGGTACACAAAACAATACGCGAGAGTGCTGTGCGACGCTCCTCGCCTTTTCGCCGCGAACAATCCGTCGTCGTACCGTATCGATCGCAGACGCGTATACGGTATATACCGCGGTCATTGTGACGCGGTACAACGACGTACCGAGGCGGTATCGACTTGTGTGTGTGTGTGTGTGTGTGTGTGTGTGTGTGTGTGTGTATTGTTCGGGTATATAAGACGGTAGACACCGAACGTGCTCGCAAAGCGCGCCGCGCACGTCAAACCGGAACCTTCGGGTCGCGTGCGACCGCACCGTTTCTGTGTGATATTTGTTTTGTAGACCTTCTCTCCGTTGTACGGCGGCGATAATGCCGACGGGACGGTTCGGTCTGGATACGATGCGAGCATTGTGTCCTGTCCTGACCATTTTCCTGTTGTTTCGTTCCAGATTCTTCGTAACGACCGTTACCTAGGTATGTGCGTACATTTCGTACCGCTGTGCCCGTCGCGGGCATATCGCGCGGCAAGACATCACACCGAACGTATAATGACATTTTCGTGGAAATAAAAAAACATATTATTATTATAGAAGATTATCTCGGGGGACGTGGGTGTCCACGACGACGCATACGTAAAAGCGTGCGGCAGGGATGACAACACGTGTGTGATATATATACGTATTGTTACATAGATTGTATCCACATACGTACATGGTTCGGTCGGCTTTCCGCACACGGGACGTGACAATATTATATACATCATCGTACCGTGTGATGTGGGTACCCACCCCGAACCAGATGTGTATTATATACATATATACCTGCGAA